GGCCATTTAGAAAGAACCGATAAAGACGGTCCGGGAAAGTGAAATGAAGAATAGCTAAAGTCAGTCAACGTATGTTGGATTCTGAAATTCCTGTCGGGCACCTTTGTCTACCAATTTATAGCACGTGTGTTTATACTCTTTCCTTGTCCGGCACAGTTCAGTTCAGTTCAGTTCAATTTATAGCACGTGTGTTCATACTCTTTCCTTGCCACTTGATCCTAGTTTACTCTAACAGTGGAAGAACCCTTACTCTACTCAATTCAGTTCAATCAGAGCACTGCCTAAACGGGCCATTGCACATGGTTGAAGAAAAACTAGGTATCATCCGGTTTCATTTGTATGATGAAGAGGGTTGTGTTGGCGCTGCGTCTCGCAGCGCCGCTCTTCTTCTTCCTCATGTTGCTTCACACAACTCTCTCTTCTTCTCTCATGAACACACACCATGAAAAAGCTCCAAGAAAATACACACACACGCATACACCAAGGAAGAAGGATCACAATGGCTTTGCCAAAGACACCTCCCTGGTGGCACACCGTGGCTACATGTTTCTCTCGGCCCTCACGGCATTCTTTCCATTGCTCGATGTAACATATATATACACAGGAGGGCGCAGGCACTCACGCCATGCACTTGACCACTAAGCACTACATGCACTAACTAATCCTTAGCTATATGCACGCCCATATACAGCTCTTGCGCAGTATCCACTTAACGGCCACACGGCCCATGCATGCACACCAACGAACTAACTAGCACACCGATTCTCTTGGCTCCAATCCAGCTAACCCATTCAGCCGATCTGGCTCCAACGCGCCTGGCCGCTACACGCGACCGTGCCGCATCACACAACACCGCAGACATCTCGTCATACTCGCCGCATCGCAGGGCAGCCAGATATCTCGCCTACTTCGCGCGCACGGCTGAAGCTTCACCAGACACTTGATAACCTAGACTAAACTACATGCAAAACTCAAACATGCAAATACACGGAATCAAGATTAACGCTAACAGGTTGGTGATATTGCATCATGCCTAAGAAGCCGAAGAAACATATGTTAAAAGCCTGCAAATGTAGTTACGTAGATGATGGAATTCTCAGCTGTACGTTAGAACGCCTCTACGACCAAGTTACCGACTATCGTCAAGTTTGTCTGTAGAGAGTATGAATCATAGAGCAAAGCAAATCACCACCCCAGGCACCAAAGGAGGACATCCACAAGTAGAGGGACAACCATCAACCTAGACTAGAGCAAAAGATATGATACATAGCATTAGAGTGAGACCCGTCCACTGCAAAGCCTCAAGCACAACTGCAAAGTCTAAAACACAACCCAATCTCGACTACCGTATATAGCGATGATGGAGACCGCAATGATCCAAATCATTTGTACGAGTATAGACGACACATCACTGAACAACCAAGGCCACCTG